TCATGGAGAGTATCTCCTTGAGATACTTCTCCCGACCACGATCGAGGCAGTTGTTTACTATTGCAGTATCCTCCTCAAAGCGGCAGGACCGATGGCTAAGGAGATCATAACAAGAAAATGGATAATCGTCGTCCTCGTCCTACTTCTCCTTGCTCTCATCTGAGCCTTCAGAGAGTGCCACGATCTCACTGGCAGAAATGCAACGACGATTCCTCTCCAATTTCGCCTCTCTATCAGCTAGGAATATCTAAGGTTCAAGTCTTAAAGATACGGAATAGGTCCAATAGACGCACCCGTGCTTCGCGATTCTTATTCTGCAGGTCCATGAGCTCCTCTTGATACTCTCTGTGCTTCTCCCTTGTCTCTCGCTCGGCACTAACACCATATGATCGTGAGCATGCTATCAGGGTTCGTCGGTCGTGCCTGAATCGGCGCTCCATCTTATTCTTCTTTTCCCTCAAGTCCTGCAGAGTATGATCCTCTGCCCTAAGCTCCGACTCAAGCTCAGCAGCCTCTTGACGTAGCTGTAAAATCTGATGAAAAAACCGTCAAATGCAATTCCAACCTTTCCACCACTGAGTAGCCCACATCAGAGTCGGCAGCTTCAATCCGCGCCCGATTACACGCGTTATGTTTGAGCAACTGAAAGGCATCAAAAAACACTACGCCGTGAAAATACAAAACTAATCTGTACTCAAGTTCAGTACTACGAAGTCCACGTTTCAAAGATGGGTCGAGGCACGTCTCATTGGAGGACTACGGTACGTTTCGTCATACTCGAACTTAACTAATGTTTTCCTAAAGCCTTCCTGTATACCTTATCAAGATCTTCTTTCTGCCTCCTTATCCCTTCCATAAGAGTACCAATATTCTCCTTCTCTGCTTGTATGAGCCGCTCTCGATGCGAGACCAACTCTGTAAGTCGTTCGATCTCACCTAAATCCAACCTCAAAGGCATCCGACCTTCGGACCCTACCGAGCATCCACTTGCTGTGCTCTTCTCTGTCGTCAGCCTCCTTCTCTAATTCAATAACGTCTAGCTGCAGCCTGAAATGAATAAGGACGAAGAGTGAACTAAACAACAATTCTTTTATAGAATACAAGACATCATTGATT